TTGGCTATCGGAAATAACGGAATCATCGTCCATGGTGTGTGTATTGTGTAAGAACTAAGGAGATAAGTGAGATGGTGTTTGTTTATTTATACATATATATATATATATATATATATCGCATTACCTTTCTTTATCAGTAGAGCCTCCAGTATTCTTGTGCTAAAATCATCTTTCCCTCCCAGATCTTGAAATCCTACCAATCTATCTACTGCAACTCCTTGTCTGAAGAAAGAAACACCTTAGCCAATATACAGCTATAACAAATCAATTTTATCTGCATTTATTATATATACTCTATCAGTTTGATTCAGTAACATTATTTTATTTCTTCCAGGATAGCTTCTGCCACCAAATATATATTAGCACCTGTGTCCTTTATTTATTTTTTGTGGGTGGGGTATTGAGGATCAAGATTGTTTAAGGATTCTAAACTTCATTCTCATTTTTTTGAGACCTAACAGAAAGATCAACACTATTCAGTAATGAATGCACTAAATTGACAAAGTTCCAAAAGGTACAGATTTAAGCCTCACCTGAACAGTATGACACAAGGCAAAGTCTTGATAGCCAGTTTTGTAACAAAGAATGGTGCATTCTGCATTCCATTTTCAATAGCGAACTTCATTCAATTTCTTTACCAAGACTAACAGTTGCATTAAGATAATATGTCCAATGTTACAGTTACATTAACTCAATCCCAAAGCAAACTCCAAAATCATCTCTATAGAATGGTTTATGCTGACCTCTGCATCAAGCTTGATGAACTTTGTATCAATATGCTTTGGTGTGAGAGACTTTAAATGCTTATCCATTATCCTGGAAACATTTGTTATACAACAGGCAATGCAACAATGTGCATGTCAAAATTAAGAGACAGAAAGATTACAAGTCACGAGGAATAATATTTAAGGCAATAACATACTTGCATCTATAGAACTCCTTATGGTAGAAGTGACAAATCACTTTTTCACTTCCAGTGACTTCACCTAAGAAATCCCCCTCGCTTATCTCCCTGTATTCTCCATGACCTTTCTTCTTCCATGTCTCCCGTTTCTCAGCTTCTTTCTATTAAAGACAAATCTGGTTGTGAATGGCAAGGCAATTTATAAATAAAAAAAGTAAAAACAAAAATTTGTATTTCCTTTGCATCTCGGTACTTATGGAGATTGTCACCTTAAGAGCTGCAATTCTATCTGCATGCAATTTTTCCAACTCAGGATCCTGACATCAACATCACGTAGAGTAGTTAAATTAGAATGAAGGGATCAACACATATTTTTATATGATGAGGTTGAAAAGTTTGCAAACCATACATCCATCAACTCATCAAGGTCAACCTCCTCATTTACTGAACTTGATGGTTGTGCCTTCTCTTGAGCAAGCAATTCCTGAAGGGATCATAGCATGTGTTACATTACAATCAATATGCAGCTTCTGGCATAAGAATTATACATAACAACACTCTTCAGAGAAAATTATAGCATAATGTTAGCATTTGAGAAAACAGAAAATTAGTTTAAAAACATACCACATAATACTTTTGAGAAAGTAGCACTTCAAAACCTATCACCCAGGACATACAAAATTCAACTATTCATAATCTATTTTAAGCTTCTTAAACAGAGTGCTATATTAAGAACATTTGATAAGAAAAGAAAAAAAAAGATAATTAAGGGAAGGAGTTCATAGAAGAAAAAAAGAGAGCAGTAAAAAGGTTTAACTATTGTTATATAATGCATTTTGGGCTTGCCACGTGGCCTATGGCCTTTGGCCAATGATAAATGTTTAACTATTGTTATATAATGCATTTCATGCCTACAAGTAGCTAACTAACTAGGCTCATTTTTTGCACACCTCTTACACTCACTGACTTGGGGTCAGAGTGTCTTTGCATGTATTAACAAATTTTGCTTCTCACCGGATGTTGTTGTTGCTTGTCCGAGCCTTCTTGCCTACCTGAAGCATCTACCACATTCGAAGGCACCAAAAACACCCCATTTTATTTGCTCCAAATGAAAACAAGTGCAAGTGCATACCCATATTCAAGTATAAAAGAACATTACAATGTCATAACCTTCTGGTAACAGTAAGCAAACTAGGGTAATACCGTAATAGTTACAACCATCTTTGTAACTATCAAATCATGAAAAAGGTGAATCGCAAAGGAAAAGATTGAACAACAGAACCAAATGAAAAGCTTTACTCCATTCATGATATCATAAAACAACAATAGTGAGAATAGATTGTGCTAAGACCTAAAAAAATGACATCTTTATCTTTGGACCTAGGATCTCACACAAAGGTTGGTGCAAAGCGAAACCACCGAATAAACCGCAAAGAAAATTGCATTGAGAAGTGAAGAATCGTTAAATTACCTTCTGGTAATCGCGAGCAGCTGCAGCCATTACGTTTCCAAACGCGAGATTGGACAGAGTGGACTTCACCGCGTTTGGATCCATCTCTATTGTCAACAAAAATCAAAACCAAGATCAGAAATTTAAAGTAATAACGATTAAGACGCAAACTAAATGATGGCCGCACCGTTAAGATCTGTGTGCAGTTGTGGGTGCTAAAAATGGGAAGAGAGAAAGTTTTTCAAAAATTGAAGCTTTACTGCTATGTATGTGTTTGTTTCTTTTGTTGATGGAAGCTACAAAGCTATCTGCGTCGTCCACGAAGGAAGGAGAAAGGAGACGGGTGTGGGTTGGGCCCGTTAGCAACGATTCATAGTCATGGATTCGTGGCCCTAATTTTCTAATTAGACCCTTTAAGAACAAAATCATAAAGAAAAAAAAAATCAAAGGAAAATTATTTTCTAATATAAATAATAAATTTTATTTTCTACTAGCGGAATTAAAAGAAAAAGTAAAATAAAAAACAGTAGTTATCTGAAAGGCGTGTCTCTCTCAATTTAAAAAAAAAACATTAAAACAAAAAAGTACAGTTGGATAATTATTTCAAAGTTGTGAGTGATTTATAATTTATAAAGAAATAGTTTAAGAACAAAATTGAAATTAAAATATATATGCGACTATGCGAGAAGTATTTATCACCTTTGTCGCAATTGAAATCGTAATCGGACGATGAAAATAAAATTTAAAATAATAAAGTCATCACTAATGTTTATTTTTAAGGAAAAAAATATTAGAAAAAATTACAAAATAGAAAATAGTCTATAAAAATAAGATTTTTGAGTTCCGAAATTGATTACGTGTAAGGAAGGTATTAGCACTTTACAACGTTCGTCATAAGACAATTATTTTTAATTTATTAAACAAATTATTTATAGTTAATAAAATATTTATCTCACCCTATATTAATTAAAATTAACTATAACAATCAAATGAATTTTATTTAACTACTACATTTATTTTATAAAAATTAGAATTATTATATAAAAAAGATAATATTATTATTTTTTTGGCTCGACAAGTGATGAAATCATGCTTAGGAAGGCAAGACGTGACAACCTAAAAGATCCAAGAGAAGTGGGCTAGGCATGGAGGTTTGGGTCAGTGAAGACCCAATAGGCCCGATGGGCTTGGAAGGCCAAGTTGAACTTCTCATGGGCCTATCTTTTTATGTCCATTCTTCTTATGTTTTTATTAGTATAGTTTCCATATATTTTGGTCTTGTATTTTGGACCACATAGAATAACATTCTGGGCTTTAGGCTTGTTAGGCCTAGTTTTGGGCTTCATGGGCCTTTGGGCTTTTGGTACCCAATATTGGGCTCATTTTCATTCTTGTAATTTTACCTTTCCATTGTATTTGAATGACCATTGTATTTAGGTCATTAGAATAGGATTATACAAGGATTACTTAAATAGGCAAATTAAACTAAACTAGGTTTAATTTGGAAGTCATTTAAGTTACATTTGAGTCACATGTTTAGCACCATGGGTGGCTGAACATGTGCCACTCAAATTAACCCTAAATGACACTCCAAATTCAACCTAGATGCACCTTAGTACCTAAATTTTTGGCCAAGCACATGGGAGCCAAAATTTGAATTCAAATTTCAAGTTTGAATTCAAATTTTGGGCGCCACATGTAGCCTTGGATTTAGGCGCCCAAAGTTGCACACTTGGAACCCTACTTAAGTGATTCTTCCACTCTTTGTATTCACTTTT